TGTTTGGCGGGTCCGGGCTGGGGATTCGAACCCGCCACCTTAGGTGTACGTGGCTGGCGCCTTAGCCGGTTGAGCTATAGGCGCCGAGCCCCTCAGTTTCTTTAGTATTAAGATGAGGAGGACATTAGTTGTTCTTGGTTGATGATGAAATTACCAATATTCAACCATATTGGATCTACAAATAGCAGTTTCCTATGGTTCACCCTAATGGCCACCTCCTAGGATCAGATGCATTAGCATCTGTAAAGCCCCTAACATTGTGCTTGGTCATCATGTTTGCTGTTAATCCCATCATGTTTGCTGTTAATCCCGTGTGGCAGATCTGGCCCCCACAGTTTCCCAGACAGTCATTTTGCCCAAGAGCAGGTATTCTGGAAATATTGGGCAGGCCTACGGGGTGTATTGCTGAAAATTGCTGCCCACTCCACAAAAGGATCCATTTCCTCTGAAAAATAGGATAATCCTATCCCTTACGGTCATGGAGGGAGAGAATTAAATGGGAGTACCTCATGGTACTCCCTCTACCCAATTAGCCTTTGACCCTGGCCAGGCATGGTCAAGGTGGGTGGACCAGCCAGATCAAGAGTGAGACCCCGTCTCTACTAAAAATAGAAAAAATTAGCTGGGCATTGTTGGTACAGGCAGCCAGTAGTACCAGCTACTCAGGAGGCTGAGGCAAAAGGATCCTTGAGCCCACAAGTTTGAGGTTGCTGTGAGCTATGATGATGCCAGCTCAGACACTCTACCCAGGGCTGCAGAGTGAGACTCAAAACAAAACAAACAAAAAAAAGAAACCTCTGACCCTGATTTCACCTTTGGTGCAGCTCTTTGGTGCCCCCTGGTGTCCATGGGTGAGAGGTGGTTTGTAGTAGGCTGGCTGGGCTCTGGTTCTCCTGCTTCCCGCTTCCCCCTGGAGGCTTCTGTCCCTGGTTGGGTTGTGCAGAAAAGAAGTCACTGTAGAGGCTAGACTGGCAGCAAAAAAGAGGTCAGTCTGTCCATGAGTATTTACTGCGCATTTGGGTATAAAATGTTGAACTAGATCTGTGAGGCCTCCAGGAATGTATGGGACACCATAGTCCGTTCTAAAGAGAGTACAGGGTCATTATGAAAGCCTGGGAATCAGAAAAACAGAGGCTTCTGGCAGTGCTGGATCTGCAGCCAGTGAGTGAAGCTGACATGCAGCCCAAGCCTGCAGAGGCTGCTAGCCTGGGATGGTGAGGAAAGCAGTCACGAGGGGGTGGGGCTGGAGCTGAGTTTCACTTAGAGAGAGCAGGCCAGATAGAGGAAATGACTGGTGCAAAGGCAGTGGGTTGGGAACCGTGGAGAGATGGTGAGGGGCTGCAAGGTGCAAGGTAAGCAATGTGCTAGAACTTAGGTTCCAGCAAGTGGGTGGTGGGAGGTATCAATGGAAAGGGGAACTGCAGAGGAATTGCCATGAGCTCAGAGCAGAGGATTTTAGGGTTTATCTTTATGTTGCAGAAGGAAGTCAGCAAAGACTTCTTTTTTTTTTTTTTTTTTTTGGAGTGTCTTGGTCATGTGGGCCCTTAAGATTAGAAACTGAGGCAGAAAATCCAGAGAGGAAGTGAGGAGATAATTATAAAATAGTGGGCATGTGAGCTGGGTGTTGTGGTTCATGCCTGTAATCTTTTTTTTTTCCAAGACACAGTCTCACTATGTTGCCCTTGGTAGAGTGCTGTGACGTCACAGCTCACAGCAACCTCCAACCCTTGGGCTTAAGCCATTCTCTTGCCTCAGCCTCCCAAGTAGTTGAGTCTACAGGCATCCACCACAATGCCCGGGTATTTTTTTTTTTGAGACAGAGCCTCAAGCTGTCGCTCTGGGTAGAGTGTCATGGTGTCACAGTTCACAGCAACCTCCAACTCCTGGGCTCAAGTGATTCTCCTGCCTCCACTACCCAAGTAGCCAGGACTACAGGTGTCTGCCACAGTGCCCGGCTATTTTTTTTGGTTACAGCCCTCGTTGTTTGGCCAGCCCAGACTGGATTCGAACCTACCAGCTCCAGTGTGTGGCTGGTGCCTTAGCTGCTTGAGCCACAGACACCAAGCTCCACCTATTTTTTGGTTGCAGTTTTCAGTGTTGTTTGGCAGGCCCAGGCTGGGCTCAAACCCACCAGCTTCGGTGTATGTGGCTGGCACCCTGTTCACTGAGCTACAGGTGCCAAGCCTCATGCCTGTAATCTTAGTACTTTGAGAGGCCGAGGGGAGAGAATTGCTTGAGGCCAGGAGTTTGAGACCAGCTTGAGCAGGAGCAAGACCCTGGCTCTCAAAATATAGAAAAATTAGCCAGGCATGGTAGTGCTTGCCTGTAGTCCCAGCTACTTGGAAGGCTGAGGTAGGAGAATTGCTCGATGCCAGGAGTTCAAGGTTGGAGTGAGCTATGATTATGCTATTGCACTAGCCTACGCAATAGAGCAAAACTCTTATTTCAATAAAATAAAATAAATCAGGCTTGGCATCCGTAGCTCAGTGCTTAGGGCGCCAGCCACATACACTGAGGCAGGTGGGTTCAAACCTGACCCAGGCCTGCTAAACAACAACAACTACAACAAAAAAGTAGTGGGGCATTCTACCAAGGGTGACATAGTGAGACTCTGTCTCCAAAAAATAAAAAATAAATAAAATAAATAAATAATAAAATACATCAGTAGGCTCCTTCACTGCTCTTCTAGTGTGTGTACAGTTTCAGCCATAGTTTCTTTACTAGGAAACCATAGTTTTATGTTGCAGCTACTTCTGTAGTGCAGGAGGAGCTCTTAGGGAGAGGAACATGGTTTTAGTAGTAGTGGTGTTGGCTCAGTCCCTGTAGCACCGCGACTAGGGCGCCAGCCACATACACCGGAGCTGGCAGGTTCAAATCCAGCCTGAACCTGCCAAACAACAATAACAACTACAACCAAAAAATAGCTGGGTGTTGTGGCAGGCACCTGTAGTCCTAGCTACTTGGGAGGCTGAGGCAAGAGAATCACTTAAGCATAAGAGTTTGAGGTTGCTGTGAGCTGTGATGCCACAGCACTCTACCTAGGGCGACAGCTTCAGACTCTGTCTCAAAATACAAAAATTAAAAAAAAAAGAAGTAGTGGTGGTGATTATTGGAATAATAGCTAATATTTATTGAGTGCCAGTCTCTGCGTTGTTTCACTCAGTCCTTATACTAACCCCTAAGAGATAGGGGTTAGCCCCTTTGCAGTATGAAAACTAGGGTACCCAAATATTTAGCAAAGGTTGAGCCATGAGAGTTAACGGGCTATAGAGACAGGACTCAGGGTACCTGAGTTCCAAGTGTAAATCACCACTGTGACTCTTGTACCATAGGGCAGCTACCTGGGGAGTTGGGGGCACTTTGCTGAAGGGAGGGTGCCACTTACTAACCTGCTCTATATCTCATAGACAGCGCTGAAGTCACTCCGCCTGTCCTATCTGTGATGGGGGAGGCCACCCCAGTGAGCATTGAGCCGTAAGTACAGCCTTGCCTCTAATCCATGGTGTAAGGATAGCCATGTTTGTCCAGTGTGTGCAGACAGGCCCTGGGAGTGAGAGGAGGGTTCTGCAAACCCTTTCTGGGCTTCCGTTGTTGGCCCTGGTCTTTGCTGTCTCTACCCTGCTTCTGTGTGGAAGTTGCAGGGAAAGGAAAGGATCAGCTCAGCTTGAATTTATCTCTAGGAGAGTTGGAAAGGTGGTCTAAGAGATTCTTTCTCCATCTATAAACTTAGAGCAGTTTCTCCCACTTCTGACCTCTGATCCTTGCCTTTCTGGTGATACCAGGTGCCAGGCTGTCCTCACAGTCCCCTGAAGTCAGTCCCCTTGCCTTTGCCAACCCCTCATCTTCTCATCTCCAGGGAAATAAGTGTATTATCCCCACGGGGAGAAGCTTCACTCCCTTCCATTTCCATCCCTGCAGACGCATCAACGTGGGCTCCCGGTTCCAGGCGGAAATCCCCTTGATGAGGGACCGCGCCCTGGCAGCTGCAGACCCCCATAAGGCTGATTTGGTGTGGCAGCCATGGGAGGACCTAGAAAGCAGCCGTGAGAAGCAGAGGCAAGGTGAGGAGGGACCCCTGGGAATAAGCAAGTGAGTCAGGCTGGTAGGTGGCTGTGGGGGCCAGCCCAGCCCTAAATGGGGTTTTCTCTCCTCTCTCCCCACACTCCTATGAATCCAGTGGAAGACCTGCTGACAGCTGCCTGCTCCAGCATTTTCCCTGGAGCTGGCACCAACCAGGAGTTGGCCCTGCACTGTCTGCATGAGTCCAGGGGAGACATCCTGGTGAGATGACACGCCTAGTGGAGGGAGGGTCCCTCAGGGAAACTGGTTTGATCCATGACTGCTGCCCTAGAGCTAAGCCTCTAGCATGCAGATTGGAAGCCAAGAGAAGGCCCTGCAAGAAGGGGGTTCTGGGGGCTCAGCCTAAGGGAACCCTAGTTCCAAACTCCAGATTTTGCTGTGTAGGATCCTTCTATCCATCCCAATCCCTGATTCTGGGTCAGTGGGTACCACTCTCAAACAGCACTGTTGCTGAGAGCTGTCTCTGTTTGTGCTACCTGCCTTGAGGTCTGTGATTCTCTCTTAAGAGGGCCTGTACCTTGGTTTCTGAGTAGCACTACTGCCCATGACCCTGCCATCCTGCCAGACCTCTGGTCCCTCAGCAGTTATGGGAGGCCAGAATAGGCCCCCACTGTACTTAGAGGCCTGAGGATGCCCTCTGACCTTTGGTAGGGCCTAGGATGCTCAGTCCATCATGGAGACCCCTGCTGGGGCCCTTACCTTCCCTTACTTCCCTTCCAGGAAACGCTGAATAAGCTGCTACTGAAAAAGCCCCTGCGGCCCCACAACCACCCACTGGCAACTTATCACTACACAGGTGGGTCTGGCTGGGTGGGCATGGGCCTGGAGCCTCAGAAGGTCTCCAGCATCAATGGGGCCCTGCTTGGTGATGAGTCACAGCCCTGAGTGGGGTCGGGGGAGGGGTAGATAAGCCAAGAACCAAAGCTGGGGTAGCGGTCCAGGGGCTTCTATACCCTGGAGGGGAATGGAGAAAGGGTGGGCAGATTGGCGCTGATCTAGGCAAAAAAGTACAGATTACAAGTACAGAGAGAGGAACCCAGGGAGTGTCCTCCAAATTGGCATCAAGTACCTGGAACTTAGCCCTGGAGTGCATATCTTGTTCCAGGCACTGTACTTCAAGGGGAACATTGATCAAGTCACATAATCTTAGCAGCCACTGTTCTTGATCCTTTGTTGGTACTATCAGGCAGAGTACCAAGGGATTCACATACATTATTTCATTTAGTCCTCATTACAACTAGTGAGCTAGGTTCTATCATTAGTTCCCATTTCACAAACAAGGGGAGTGAGTGACTTGGCTAGTGAGTGGCAGAACCAGGATGTGCAACTGCCCTGACACTGTAGACTAGAGACTGTAGGTGGGTGGCCTCACACGTCCTATTAATTAGGATTGCCCTGCGCTCATGGTCCTGCTCACCTCACTGCTCCCTCTTTGTCATGTAGGCTCTGACCAGTGGAAGATGGCCGAAAGGAAGCTGTTCAACAAGGGCATTGCCATCTACAAGAAGGATTTCTTCCTGGTCCAGAAGCTGGTGAGCTGTGTCCTATTTTAGGGGCAAGTAAGGGCCAGGAGTTGCCTGAGTAACTCTGGGGCTCCCTCTGCCAGTGACCAAGTCCTCTTAAAAAGCAGTCCAGACAGCACAGTGGCATGTGCCTGAAGTCCTAGCTATTCTGGAAGCTGAGGCATGAAGCTACTTGAGCCTAGGAGTTCAAGTCCAGCTTGGACAACACAGCAAGCTTCTGTTCATTACAAAAAAAAAAGAGCAGTTAGGTCCATACCACTAAGTAGGCTGAGAGACAATTTTTGGAACAATACAAGAATGGGAAAAGTTAGGGCTTTTATCCCTGTTGGTTCTAAACATCCTTCTCCTTCCTTAGGGTGGTATGGCTGTGCTTTGGGATCTCAATCCAGAAAGAGGCCTAAGTGGGCATCAGACTCTGTGGCATCATACTTAAATTAGGCGGGAGGACTAGATGGGTATTAGGGTTGCAAGCAGAGGTGAGCCCTTCCCCAGGGGAATGTGGAAGGGGAGAGGGCAACCTATGGTGAGGGGAGCTGGGATTGGGCAAATGCCTGTGTAACTGACCTGGTAGACATCTGCTCACTTCTTTATCTGGCCCAAGGCTTCCTTCCAGTGGCTCAGCTGACCAAGCCTAGGTTTCCTAGATTTATTTTGTCCTCTCTCCTTATACTTCTGAAGAATAGAGTACTTTGCTAATCCAAGGAATTACATCTTTCTAGCCCTGACTCACAAATCTAGGCTATGAAGAAAGTGAGTTGTGTGGACTGCCAAGGAAAAAACACTTCTAAGAACTTGCTCTTTCCTTCTGGGATTTTACATTATGTCAGAAATGGCCCTAAGGGACTGGGCAAAGTACTGATGAATTCTCCTATAAGGACCCTGTTGTGAGGACAGTTTTTTGCTGTTTTAGTAACAGTCTATTCCGTGATCGGGCAATATTGCTGGGAAGTACATGCCTAATGAAATTCACTGAGGTGCCCTTAATGCCTAATGAAAAGAGTGGACCATTAGTCAGAGAGAATTGCAGTAAAAGTATAAAAGATCTAATTAATGGCTCAGCACTTGTGGCTCAAACAGCTAAGGCACCAGCCACATACACCTGAGCTGGCAGGTTTGAATCTAGCCCAGGCCCACCAAACGACAATGATGGCTGCAACCAAAAAATAGCCGGGCTTTGTGGCGGGCCCTTGTAGTCCCAGCTACTTGGGAAGCGGAGATAGGAGAATCGCTTGAGCCCAGGAGTTGGAGGTTGCTGTCAGCTGTGATACTACAGCATTCTACCCAGGGCGACGGCTTGAGGCTCTGTCTCAGAAAAAAAAAAAAAAAAAGATTCATTTAACAAATGTGTGACTTGGTCATTCCTGTGAGATGAAACATTTTTTTTTTTTGCAGTTTTTGGCAGGGTTGGGTTTGAACATGCCACCTCCGGCATATGGGGCCAGCACCCTACCCTTTTGAGCCACAGGCACTGTCCCAAGATGAAACATTTCTGTTTTTTCCTCAGGCACAGAGGACCCGCACTGACCCCTAGGCCCTCTGGATTAGAGCTCCCAGCCAGAAGTGGCTGAGCAGTCTGGGAGCCTATGGGGGTGGAGGAACGAGGGGTGGTGTCAGAGAAAACATCCTCTGTGTGTGGGAAAGTAGTCTAACAACTAAACCCATTGGTTTATGAAAGATGGCTAGAGTTTCAGAGCTTGAGAGCCCCTGGAGATCAGCTAGTCTTACCTTACCCTACTTACTATGTATATTTGGACAAAACTGTAATTAGGTGAATTATTTGCCTAAAGTCACACAGCCATTTGGTGGCAGATTTAGGAGCAAGACTAGGGCCTTTTGCTTCCTCTTCAGGTTTTCTAGGACTTTATTGTTTTTCTTGAGTTCCTCCCCCATATAGGACACAGTGAGATTTCTCTGCCCTCCCTTGTCAGGAGAGGAATCATTTGTTTGCCTGGATTTTTTTTTTTTTTTTTTTTTTTTAAAGACACAGTCTCAGTCTGTGGCCCAGGTTAGAGTTCTGTGGCATCAGCCTAGATCACAGCAACCTCAAACTTCTGGGCTCAAGTAATCCTTCTGCCTCAGCCTTCTGAGTAGCTGGGACCACAGGTGCCTACCATAATGCCTGGCTAATTTTCCTATTTTTAGTAGAGATGGGGTCTAACCCTTGCTCAGGTTAGTCTTAAACTCCTGAGCTCGAGGAATCGTCCTGCCTTGGCCTCCCAGAGTACTAGAAATACAAGTGTGAGCCACTGTGCCCATAATGTTTGCCTGGATTGATGAATAGTATCTGTATTGCCAGGTTGGGGATGGCTTTGACTTTGAATAGTGCCCAGACTTTTTCTTTTCTTTTTTTTTTTTTTTTTGAGACAGAGCCTCACTATGTCGCCCTGGGTAGAGTGCTATAGCATCACAGCTCACAGCAGCCTCAAACTCTTAGGCTTAAGCAAATCTCTTCCTCAGCCTCCCAAGTAGCTGGGACTACAGGCATCTGCCATAATGCCCCACTTTTTTTTTTGTTGCAGTTGTCGTTGTTTGGTAGGCCGGGGCTGGGTTTGACCTCACCAGCTCTGGTGTATGTGGCTGGCGCCTTAGCCGCTGAGCTATAGGTGCTGAGCCCAGACTTTTTTCTCTTAACATTTTAGTTTGAAAAATTTCAAACTTAGAGAAAAATTGAAAGAACATATAATGAACACTCATTTACCGCCCTTGGATTTATCAATTATTAACATTTGTCACATTTGCTTTCTCTTTCTCTGTATACACACACGTACACACTATTATTTTTTTTTTTTGAGACAGAGCCTCAAGCTTTCCCCCTGGGTAGAGTGCCGTGGCATCACAGCTCACAGCAACCTCCAACTCTCCTGCCTCAGCCTCCCAAGTAGCTGGGACCACAGGCGCCCACCACAATGTCCAGCTATTTTTTGGTTGCAGCCATCATTGTTGTTTTGGCGGGCCCAGGCTGGATTCGAACCCATCACCTTAGGTGTATATGGCTGGTGCCTTAGCCACTTGAGCCACAGGCGCCGAGCTCACACTATTTTTTCTCTCTTTTTCAGCTAATCATTAAGTTACAGACATCTGTCACATGACTCAAAAGATTTCATCATGTATCACCTAAAAACAAGTATATTCTACAAAACCACCATACTGTTAGTCTGCCTAAGAAATTTAATCTGATACAATCCATATTCACATCTTCCCAGCAGTTGTCCTTAATAACTTACTGTATTTATTTATTCACTTATTTTAAATGTGCTGAATCATTGATTAATAGAATTAATCAGTGGTTTGTTAGAGACCAGGCATTAGAGAAATGCTTATATTTCCTGGGTTCAATGGGTTTAATTTTTGGTTAGAGGTTAAGGGGCATATATAGGAAAGGCTGGATTATCCCCAAGAAGTACAGCCAAACCAGGGGAATCTGACCACAGTTTTGTCTTCAAACCAGATCCAGACCAAGACTGTGGCCCAGTGCGTGGAGTTCTACTACACCTATAAGAAGCAGGTGAAAATCGGCCGCAACGGGACTCTAACCTTTGGGGATGTGGATACAAGTGATGAGAAGTCAGCCCAGGAAGAAGTTGAAGTGGATATTAAGGTGACTCCTTGCCCAGTGTCAGCTACCTAGAACCCAGGCTGGGTCTGGGGCCACGGCCAGCTGGGAATCTGAGGCCAAGCTCTCTAGGAGTCTGTGGAGGGCAGGCAGAGGAAGGCAGTGTCCCTGATAGTCTCAAGGAGCTGATGTCCCAGGCCCTAGACCTTTGGGTTCCCCTCTCTGTGCTGCCAATGTCAAAGTAATAATACATTGTGTTGATGCAGAATACTGGAGAATTTTCCCTCAGGATCTGTATTGGCATCAACTTATTGTCTCCTCATAGCAGACCTCTAACACTTTAGTTATTCTTGTATCACCTTCATGCTATGTCTGTGCCCTACCATCTGTTACTACTACTATTTTTGTTGTGTTCACATGCCACTTGTGCTGTTACTTAATATGTTTTTTATTCAACTAATTTTTTACTCAATTAGGTAAGTTAAATACATATAAAAACCAAACAGTGCTAAGTTCTAGCTGGATGCTGTGTTACTTGCCAAGGCTCTATTAGGGCTGAAGCCTGATCACTCTTTTTAATGTTAAAGAGACTATCAAGTCTAGAGAAGCATAAGATATGTTAACACCAGTCAGAGCCTTTGTACTTAATAGAATCAAGATCAAAAGAGGATTGAAAAGTGAATGTTAACTTAGTTCTGTGTCCATGTATCCATCTAATATCATCACAGGATTGTAGTCTCCACACTTGGTGAAATGCCTACTCTAAGGCAGGGAGTGGTTTGGTGCCCATTTTGTATATAGGAAGGTGGTGAAGATACAGAAAACATTACAAAGATAGTTTGAAATTAGAGCTCAAGGCTCCTGCCTGACTTACCAGGCCACTTCTCACACTTCCTTCCTTCTCAAGTGCTCTGTTTTACCCTGAGGGCTCCAAGGGCTCAAGACTCTATTCTATCCCCAGGCATACGAGCCACCGAGTGCTGTGACTAGTGACATAGTCCTAGGACAGAGAAGGCTGTGCTGGGCCAGGACAGCTTGCAGGACCAGCAAGGCTAGGGAAGCCTTGGCTGGGTCAGAATTGGTCCACTGTGACAGTGTGACTGAGCTCTAGGCTCATTGCCCTTATTCTTGTCCCCTATAGACTTCCCAGAAGTTCCCAAGAGTGCTTCCTCCCAGAAGAGAGTCCCCAAGTGAAGAGAGGCTGGAGCCCAAGAGGGAGGTGAAAGAGCCCAGCAAGGAGGGGGAAGAGGAGGAGCCAGAGACCCAGGAGAAGGGGGAGCAGGAAGAAGGGCGAGAGCGCAGCCGGAGGGCTGCGGCAGTCAAAGCCACTCAGACACTACAGGCCAATGAGTCGGTAAGTGTCACCTCTACTGTCTGAGCCCAGGGCCAGGAAAAGGGTGGAGGGGGGCCTGGGGGTGTGGGAGGGAGGGCAGAGCTGGAATGCTAGATACTCATCATTCTCATAATAGCAGGAAGTACACAGAGTACTTTCTGCTGTTAAGTCATTTCATCCACAATTATTATTCCCATTTTACCTATGAAGAAATTAAGGCCAGACATAACACAGCTAGTAGGCAACCTGACTCCATAGTCTGCTGTTGCTTTTTACATTATACTGCTTTTGTATCTGAGATTCAGAGGAAAAAGGCTTTGTGAAAACCCAGTGGATATGTGAGACATTGGAGACAGGGCTACCCCTGAGAGAGCTGATAAAAATGTCTGAGACTGAGCTGAAACCATGAGAGTGATAATGCCCCTCATGCATGATCTCTGCAAAGTGCTTTCATTTCTGTTATCAGTTCCTCACAACAACCCCATAAAGTGTTAACCCTCACTCTGCAGCTGGGGGGAATGGGTTCAGGGGTGCTAAATGTCCCTGGACTCCTGCCATAGTGCTGTCTCTATCTGTGATAGGCCAAGAAGCAGGACTCCTGGTCACAGCTGCTCCTTTCCAGGGAAAGGCCCTGCAGGAAGGGAACAGAGAGGAGTTTGTTGGGGAGCTACTGCAGAGTCTTTTTAAAAAAAATTTCATGCTGTACACTTGTGCTTGCAGACCCCCCAACTGTGAACACACAGCTGTTTGCCCCTCTGCACCAAGAGCTGTGCTCTGTGCTTCACCCAGTTCCGCTGTCTTTTGTGCTCACTTTGCTATTATAGGCTCTCACTCTGTTGCCCTGGGTAGAGTGCTGTGGCCGTGTAGCTCACAGCAACCTCAAACTCCTGGGCTCAAGTGAGCCTCCTGCCTCAGCCTCCCAAGTAGCTAGGACTACAGGTGCCTGTCACAACGCCCAGCTAATTTTTTGTATTATTAGTAGAGATGGGGTCTTACTGTTGCTCAGGCTGGTCTTGAACACCTGAGCTCAAGTGATCTACCCACCTTTGGCTTCCCAGAGTGCTAGGATTTAGGCACAGGTCAACACACTTACCTCTTCTGATGGACACTGGGTCCCCTTCCTGAGGCGACTCTCTGACCGGTGCTCTTCCCCTCAGTTTAGCATCTCCCATTCGTCCTGAGCTAGTGGGCCAGTGCATCTGTCCTTTTCTCTAGACTTGCGCTTTCTCAGGGCAGGGGTGCCTGTCAACCTCTGTATCCTCAGCACCCAGCACATCACAGGGGCCTGATTCCCTATAGAATGAAGGTAGGAATGGACTAAATGACAGAAAACATGAACATAAGCTTCACTAGTTCAGACCTCAAGGTCCGGTCATATGCATCAAGTCCCATAGCATGGCGGCACCCCTAGTTCAGTGGGTAGGGAGCTGGCTACATACACCGAGGCAGGCAGGTTTGAACCCGGCCCCCAGTCTGCTAAACAACCATGACAACTGCAACAACAACTAAAATAGCCGGGTGTTATGGCGGGAGCCTGTAGTCCCAGCTACTTGGAGGCCGAGGCAAGAGAATCGCTTAAGTTAGAGGTTGCTGTGAGCTGTGACGCTACAGCACTCTACCAAGGGCGACAAAGACTGTCTCAAATAAATAAATAAAGTCCCATAGCAGCTAGCTAGGGTTGTCCCACAGAATTACTGTACTTTGTCAACGATTAAGCTGTGACTAAAGACAGGTGGGCTTCTGAGGAGGCAGTGAGGGTCCTGCCTCCGGTAAGACTCAAGGGCATGCTACGTGACCTTTGGGCAGGAGGGTATGGCCTTTACTGGCCCTCTGTTCCCTGAGATTTCAGAATTCCGGGTGGACCCTTCTCCACATCTCTCAACTCTCCTTGTTTGATTCTTTCCAGGCCAATGACATCCTCATCCTCCGGAGCCACGAGTCCAACGCCCCTGGGTCCACTGGCAGCCAGACCTTGGAGAAGCCAAGGGAGGGTGTAGGGAAGTCACGAAGGGCACTACCATTTTCAGAGAAGAAGAAAAAACCAGAGACGTTTAATAAGACTCAGAATCAGGAGAACACTTTCCCGTGTAAAAAGTGTGGCAGGTAAGCCAGCCAGCCCTGCCCCACTGAGATCTAGCCTGGGGGTGAGTGGTGGGGCGGGATGAAGTGGGGGGAGGGGAAGAGCCTTGTCTTCTGATTGGCTCAGTGGGTTTCTAGGGCTGTGACGCCATCGGGCAGTCTTTAGAAGACGCGGATGGCACAGACTGGGGAGATGTGGGAGGAGCGCACACGCACCGCACGTGCACGCGCATGTGCACGTGCAGCCGCTCCCACAGGTCCCTAAGGAGAACCGGCTGACGCCTGACCCCTCTCCCCGCCTGGTGGCAGGGTGTTTTACAAGGTGAAAAGCCGGAGTGCCCACATGAAGAGCCATGCCGAGCAGGAGAAGAAGGCAGCGGCGCTGAGGCAGCGGGAGAAGGAGGCCGCGGCCGCTGCAGCTGCTGCAGCCGCCTCCCACCCACAGGCCCTGCGGGAGGAGAGTGGCGGCGCGGGCGAGAAGGGCTGAGTGGGGGGGCCTGGCCCCGAGCCCGGCACCTCCACCCGCAAACACCGGGAACCTCAGGAGTGAGTGAGGAGAGAATCACGTGGACCTTTCTCTGCAAAACAAATAAGACAGTGAAATAAACGGCTCTTTTATTTATAAAGGCCCCAGGAGCGGTGTTAAGGGCTGCAGGATCCGGTTCTCTTTGTCCTCATGCTCTCCCGGAACATGAGCGTCCTGATCCTCTCCGGAGGGGCTCCACCGCCACCTCTCCCACCCCATCTCTGCCGGCTGCCGCCGCGCGGGTCTCTTGCCTCCTCTTTGCCTCCCCTCGCTCTCCAGGAAGCCACCACGGTGAGCCCAGCACAGGCTTACTTTCGGCTCACTTTCGTTCATTGCAGTGTTAATTCGTGTCCTCAGAGGACCTCAGGGCTGCACAGGCCCTGCCCCCAGTCCCAGATAAAGGCACTCCCTGGGAGGGAGTGTCTCAGAGCTTGACATCTGTGCTATGCCTGCACAACAGTGTCCCGGCCTGCCTGAGCTGCTTCAGTGACTTGTTCTCAGAGTGGCCACCTTGTCCCTGGAAGGGAGGCCAAGACAGGCACTATTGTCCCTTTGCTGCTTACTAGCAGCCCTGCTGGGGCTAGGACATTTTCTCAGATGTTTGGGGGAAGGGGCTGTTGTTCTTGGCCAAGTCTCTCAGCCTGCTGCAGGAAGAGAAACTACAGGGGCTGGAAGCTGCAGGTCCAGGCCTGAGGGAGGTTGTGACAAGCCTGGCTCTTCCTGTCTCGTACCTTTTTGCCAAATACCTTTGGGTCCTGGAGGGAGCTTAGCCTTGAGCAGATACTGGAGAGGCCCGGCCTGCTCCTTCTTGGTGCTAGCTCCCTGCTTGCCTCTGTCCTGCCCTCAGCATCTGCTGCCTGACCCTACCACACCCCACCCAATGTTGATGTCCACGGCCCAGCCCTCAGTCCTGCACGCTGGAGATTTCTGGATCCTTCCCTGGGAGAGGGAGGTCTCCTAACTAGATTGGACAGGAGCCTTCATTCCTTGACTTATGTCAGTTGGGAGCTATTTATTTATTCTTAATATTTAATTTTTAACATCCTCTCAGGGACCAGGGGCCTCCTGCTTTCCAGAGGCCCAAGTGCATTTATCCCAAAACAAGGCACCTTCTTGACATCCCCATCCCCACTCCTAATTCCCAAGACCCTAAGATCCCTCACCTCGTTGCTCTGGAAGCTCTTGCTAATAGGAATGATAGCACTGAAAGAGGGTGGAAAGGTGGAGGGTATCACCAAAGCCACACAGAGACTAGCAGGATGGAGGGAGATCACAGGCAGTTGTTGTGCTGCCCCTTCTCTGCTGTACTTTCAAATGCCTGAGAGATTGGCAAGAGGCCAGAATTCTAGTTTTGTTTATCAGGCCTAGAGTCTAGCTTGAAGAAGCCATATTTGGCTTGGAGTCACTGAAATGAAAGGGCCAGAAAGATCTGGAGGCCCCTTCGCTTGTCAGCCCCATAGCAGACTGAGTTATTTTTATGATCTTATTACTCAACTTTAATTTTGCAAAAGAAACTCTTAAGTGGATGCATATATGACAGATCAGTGTATTAGGAAGGAGCCAAAAAGTATTTATTCTGCTACTCGGTGGTGGCCTAAAAGTATCACATCAGTAGCTGGAAGTGGAGAGGGAGTTTTGTTTTGAAATTATGTACGATTGGGTCAGATATTTTTCAGCATCCACTTATACATTAACAAGGTTCTACAGGACCCCAGCTATGAAAGTTAGAAAATTCTTTTCCCTGCCCCAGACTCCTAGGTGATTACTTAGATCTGCAACTTTCTAGTTAGTCTCCTCCATAGGCTTCTGCAAGCTCAGTGTCCCAAGACTGCAAAAATCTGGTGTACTCTCTAGAAGTGGGAGGGTAGCAAAATTTAGGCTCTCTTCTAAATTATTTAAGTAATATGAGTGCCTTTGCAGCATAGCCCAAAAGTGCTACTTATGTTTCCCAAGATTTTTCTACTTAACCCATATTTGGTTTCAGGCTCCTTTATGGACATGAGGTAACAGAAACCTTCATTCACATGAGACCCTTCTGTTCAGTGGTAACATACAAGACATGGAAATCTTTTTTAGTAAGAAAGTAAGCCTACTCGTCTAAGCTCAGAGAGACCAGACTAGGTGAATGTAACTGGGGAAAATCAGTATGGTACCTCTGTGTAATCTCACCAGACACCATATCTTAGGGAGGGTCCATGCTCCAGGAAGCATTTTTATATAGGAAGCAATGTGAAAAAATGTTTAGAGGGCAGGTGCGATTGTGGCTAGTGACCTGCCAGTAAAGTAGTGCAGCCATAGAAGATGGCATAGGTATATCCTTAATGGTGCTTTCTCCCTGTGAACATGTTAGGTTTGTCTTTTGTTGTTTTTTCCTTCTCTTCAGAGCTCTTTGCTTTAAGAAGCTAAGTGATAAACACCTCCAGCTTTATAATGTCCTCCCCACATCATCTCACTGTTTCCATGTCCCAGCTTAGATATGCATTCACGTAAGGGCGTGAAACTGACCTAGTGCCTGTGTCGCAGACCACTTCTGAGGTCTCTACCCATCCAAGGAGACAGTGCCATCATTACTGTCCTCCATGCCTTTGGCAGCCCCCTCACAGCTAAGGTACACACCGCCCCTTCAGCCACCCCACCTCCACCCCTGGCACAGAGATCTTTTGCTGCTTATGTCTAAAGGGATTGCCTATATTTAACTGCCTCAGTGACCTAACCTCTTTCTTCTCATGTGCCAGATGTTAAGATGAAGGAGGAATACAATATACTCAAGCCTCAGCTGTTTAAATATGTTTTCACTGGGGCTCACTTTTCTGGGATGGTTGGTATTTATTATCAGACTGGCAAGCCTAATTCCTTAGGTTTACAGGAAGTACGCATATTTTTATAAAACAATTGTGTCCTCCCCACATTTTGCTGTGTTAATATTTGCCTCTTAACAATTTGCAGCTGTTTCACTTTTTCCTTGTCTCTAAGTTGAAGGCCTTGTTGGAGGGGACAGAGCACAGGAACAGCCTTGACAGTCTGTAATTAGTGTACAAATATTTTAATAGCATATAAATAAGTATATTCCTTTTATTTTGAAACAGAAATGATCAGACACTGCCTTTTGTGTGTTTGCTGCCTGTGGCACCCTTTTTAAAAAAGACTGTTACATATTAAAATAGTGTACATACATATATATAAATATTACCTCTTTTGCTGTACAGTTGTGATAGACCAGACTGAAGATTTTATTTTTTGTGTGCTTTTTATAAGAAAAAATTAATACACTAAAGAGAATCTTGCTGATGTGATTGTAATGTACCTATGTAACTTATTTACTTTTGAATGTTCTGTATCTTTAAACCTTTTATTAAATAAGGTTTTAAAAATTTAGAGTTGAATGCTGTGTTCTTCTAGGGGGATTTTCACCGTCAGATACTGTCGTAAGTAGGCTTATTTTACTTGTAGGGAAATTACTTGACGTTTTCGAACTTTAAGGATTCTGTTTTACCAGCCCATTCCTTGTCAGTGATGCCAGCCAGGACAGAGGAAGTATCTCACTAGTGTTTGCCTGACTACAAAAGATGCCTGAAGTTGAAACAAGCATCTTTTTATAAAATTCAAGACAAGAAAAAGTCAAATCAGTAATTCACACGAATATACATAAATGGCATGCTCTGACGTTTTAGCTTCATTGGGATGCAACATGCAGGGTGTGGTCGGGTGGCAGAGGGGTGCCGGGTGCTGCGGAGAGCATTTTCATTTTCATACGCAACACAAAGTCACTGAATAAGTGCTGTAAGTACACAGGTCCGCCGTGGTGGGTGCATTTTATTTTATTTTTTTCTCAGATTTCGGCCGGGGCTGGATTTGAACCCGCCACCTTCGGCATATAGGACCGGCGTCCTACTCCTTTGAACCGCAGGCGCCGCCCGGTGGGTGCGTTTTCAGTAATATCATCTTAAATATTGGATGATATTTGGCTGCTTCAGAATTGGATGAGTTTTTAAACACAGTGCTTGGCAGTATTTGTTCATTGTTTAAAAAAATCTGGAAAGTACTAAAAAGAGACTTGAGACAAACGAGCGCCCAAGCCCCCTAGCCGATGTCATGGCAACCGCTAGACTCTGCCGGCCGCGGGAGCGCGCGGGCCTCCCGTCGTCCCGGACACCGTCGCTGTGGCTACGCGCGCGCGCTCTGCCGCGGAGGCGGGATTGACGCTGCGAGCAGGCCCCGCCCCTCACTGCAGCAGTATCGGCTCGTGGGGCGCCAGGTGGGACTAGTCAGACCCCGCGCTAAGCCTGAGGGCTGCACGCCCTCGCCTCCGCTGCGCTTCTCGGTCTTTCCTGTGCTTCTGCTGCCTCGGTCCTTGGTCTTTGGCAATCCTCGCCGACCAGAAGAGTCCCCGCACCGGCGAAGAAGCCGTTTGTGGGTTGGCCCAGCCACCGCCGCGACGACCTCGGTACAGTCTCTCCCTCTGGGGACAGCACATCCTCGTCTGCTAAAACGACGCTCCTCGCTGGTCTGAAGGCCGGGCTCGGACCGCGAACGCCGGATCGCCTCGCCGGCGGCAGCGGTTACCCAGCGCGCCCACGGCCGGAGGAGGCAGCCACGCCCCATAGCCACACCCCGGCTCCTCTCCTACCCGACGGCTCCTGCCTTCGCCACCCACCCTCTTAGCCTTCTGCGCGGCGACGGGACGCCCCGTCTGCCGGCGGTGGACCCCTACCTCAGACGCAAGATGGCGACGGCCGCGTGACTGAGCATCCCCAAGAGGCAGCTCCGAGGACGTGTCGACCGACTGGCTTTGGGGGCTGGGAAGGGGCGAGAGCAGGACTCTGGTGCCATTTGTTCCTTGTGATTGCGTGAAGCTTGTCTTCCTCTGGTCTGCTTGGGAGGAGTGTTGATACTGTCCTAAGTCCTATAGCACGGTGAGCTTACGTCTAATCCCTGTTTGTAGAATTGGCGCCCCTGATAGTTGGGAAAATGGCGATGACACTGTTGGAAGATTGGTGCAGAGGAATGGATGTGAATTCCCAGAGAGCTCTCCTGGTCTGGGGGATCCCAGTGAACTGTGATGAGGCTGAAATCGAAGAGACCCTCCAGGCCGCAATGCCCCAGGTGCCTTATCGAGTACTTGGGAGGATGTTCTGGAGGGAAGAGAATGCGAAAGCAGCCTTGTTAGAGCTCACTGGCGCTGTCGATTATGCCGCGATCCCCAGGGAGATGCCGGGCAAAGGAGGGGTTTGGAAAGTGGTCTTTAAACCCCCAACTTCCGATGCAGAATTTTTAGAAAGGTTGCACCTCTTCCTAGCTAGAGAGGGGTGGACCGTGCAAGATGTTGCCCGTGTCCTTGGGTTTCAGAACCCTACTCCGTCCCCAGGCCCAGAGATGCCAGCAGAGATGCTAAACTATATCTTGGATAATGTTATTCAGCCTCTCGTTGAGTCCATATGGTACAAGAAGCTGACGCTGTTCTCGGGGAGGGACATCCCGGGGCCTGGGGAAGAAACCTTTGATCCCTGGCTGGAGCACACTAATGAGGTCATAGAGGAGTGGCAGGTGTCTGATGTGGAAAAGAGGCGGCGTTTGATGGAGAGTCTTAGAGGGCCTGCTGCTGATGTCATTCGCATCCTCAAGACCAACAACCCTGCGATAACCACTACTGAATGCCTGAAGGCGCTTGAGCAGGTGTTCGGGAGTGTGGAGAGCTCAAGGGATGCACAGGTCAAATTTCTGAACACTTACCAGAACCCGGGAGAAAAGTTATCTGCCTATGTCATTCGTCTGGAGCCTCTACTGCAGAAGGTGGTGGAAAAGGGAGCCATTGATAAAGATAACGTGAACCAGGCCCGCCTGGAGCAGGTCATTGCCGGGGCCAACCACAGCGGGGCCATCCGGAGGCAGCTGTGGCTGACCGGAGCTGCGGAAGGACCGGCCCCAAACCTCTTCCAGTTGCTGGTGCAGATCCGGGAGGAGGAAGCCAAGGAGGAGGAGGAGGAGGCCGAGGCGGCCCTCCTGCAGTTAGGCCTCGAAGGGCACTTTTGAGTCCCCTAAAGACGGCTTTAGTGCAGACCTAGATCACAGCTGCTTCCCTGTCCCAGTGGAGTCTCATAGGTGTGTCTCTGAATAGTAAGACTTACCCTGTTCTATTTTGGGGTTGGTTTTTTTTTTTTGAAGGGGGGTGGGGGCAGGGGTAGTCAAGCCTGCATATTCATGTAACATTTGTAAAATTGTGCAAGCAAGCACTGTGAGCTGCTTCAAGTGAGTCATGTGGGCGAAAAGGGCCAGGAAAGGTTTGGACACAAGTGCCCAGTGCAAGCTGTCATCATAGCATCATCATCATCTATTGTGAAAAATACATGAATCTGTGACTCTTACAATCGAGATAATTAAATGTGAAATTGCATGTTCAGATGTTTAATGCAGGGCCTGGCTCACAGGAAATGTTTGGTAAAAATGTGAACTGCTGTATTGTTACTAATATCGTGGATAGTTTTACTGTAAATTGTTACAGATTTATATTAATGGAAAGAAATGTGAATTTATTAGGTATTAGTTACTCTACAGTGCAGATTTCTTATTTCTCATCTTTAAACATGTGTTATCAGTTTAAAATGGGGTGTTAGAAAAATACTGGAATCATGAAGCTGTATAAATCAGTTTTTCAATGCATAAGATACAGATATAAATCACATGGGGAGGTTGACATTGACCCAGTTACAGTATGTCATGGACTGGTTCTTGTTAATGCTGATTTTAAGTATTCTAAATTTGAAGTTATTGAATAGCTGTATATGAATAAAGATATTTTAAAAATTCTATTGTCTTGTTTTTCTGACATGTATAAAAATGTTCAGTAAAATTAAGCTCTATGTCCTTTTTTTCTTTTCTTTTTTTTTTTTTTTTGAGACAGTCTCACTCCTGCAACCTTGGGTAGAGCGCTATGGCATCATAGCTCACAGCAACCTCAAATTCCTCGGTTCAAGCATTCCTCTTGCCTCAGCTTCCTGAGTAGCTGGGACTACAGGGACCAGCCACAACACCCTGGCTGGTTTTCCTATTTTCAGTGGAGATGGCGTCTCACTCTTGAGCTCAAGTGATACATCAGCCTTGGTCTCTCAGAGGGCTAGGATTACAGGCATAAGCCACCTTGCCCAGCCCTATGTCCTTTTTTCTTATGCAGATTTCCCCATGTCATTTAAAAATTCAAACCCTATTTTACCTTCAAGCTTGATGTCATATACTATAAATTTATTTTTTGGTTGCAGCTGTCGTTTGGTGGGCCAGGGCTGGATATGAACCTGCCAGCTCAGGTGTATGTGGCTGGCACCTTAGCCACTTTAGCCACAGGTGCCCAGCCTATATACTATAAATTTAAATTGCAGGGGGGTTTGTGCTTTTTTCTGAGACAGAGTCTCACTTTACCACTTTTGGTAGAGTGCTGTGGCATTATAGCTCACAGTAACCTCAAACTCCTGAACTCAAGTGATTCTCTCGCCTCAGCCTACAGAGTGGCTGGGACTACAGATGCCCGCCACAATGCCTGTTTTTTTTTTTATTTTGGTTGTTTGGCCAGCCCAGGCTGGGTTCAAACCTACCAGCTCCTGTGTACGTGGCTGGCACCCTAGCCGCTGAGCTACTGGTGCCAACCCTGTAGTACTTTTTAAGGTATCCAAATTTTGCATGTTTCCTCAAAGCAAATATTAGAAGGTTAAATAGACATAATTACATATATTTCCTTATATATAAGTAACATTTTAGAAAATCCTGAAATGGGGTTCAAGAGGTTATCTGGCAGTGTTTTTTCTCCCTTTTTAAGCCACTTTGCAACTAAAAGTTTTTGTTCTCACTGAAAGAACACGTCACACCAGTGTAAAATAAATGTTTTACAGCAGCCATTTTATAGCAAGATAACAGAACTATACTGGTTCACATGTTTATTTTGCTGCAGCATTTCAGTGACTGAAGATACCTATCTTTGAGATTCTTAGTAAATTCTTAAGTGAAGATAGGAGTGCACACAAGCAAAATTATAGCTGACTCATACACAATCATATAGTACAGAATTTACAAAGGCTAATATTGTTACATGTTCTTCCAGGTTTTTCAGTACACTTGTGTCTCATGTCTGTCTCCTCACAAGCACACATCTCCACATACTTGCCTCTCTCCCCTTCAACAGATATGTCTGTCTTCACTTTCTTTCACAAACAATTGCCAGGTCCCTATCCCCTACCACCAGACTCAGTTTCTCCCACCATTCTCACCAGCATTAGGTACAAAGTCATCCCACTACTCACACTCCCATCTTCGTGCAGTCATTTCACCTCCCCATCAATATTCTGTAAACACTCTGCATCCTCCTACTACCCATGTACACTATGCTATGCCAATCTCCCACCCTGCAGCATGCATTTCCACATAGGCCCACACTCCCACTACCATCAAATGCCAAACCAGCCTCCATGTGTACACACTCCCATTCCATACACATACACACATTTTTTAAAAATAGGGATTCTTCACTTAAGCCCGAGAGTTTGAGGTTGCTATGAGCTGTGATGCCACAGCACTCTACCGAGGGCAACTTAGCGAGACTGTCTCAAAAAAAAAA